TGTTGGCTTGAGGTGGATGACACTTGGAGGGGACGTGTGGATTATACCAACAGGTGGAGGGACAGACGTGAGAGGTGTGCTTGCGGTGTGTGTGTGTGGCGGGGGGCCGATCGTGACTTGTCAGCTGAAGTTGCAGGAGGAAGGGATGGTTGATTGTGCCTTTATTTTGATTTTCTATTAAAATCAAATTTTCCCCGGTAGGATTTAAAACTTTGGGCCCTTTTTCCAGTTAGGGTGGGGAAGGGTTATGTGGGAGGGAGAGATTAATTGGGGAAAAAAAAGACAGGGAGAAAATACATACTGTCTTATACTAGAAAAGATATCTTCAGTGGTTGCTAGTGTTCTTTGCGTTGAGCTGCATAAAGCCACAGGTGCTCTTCCAGTCTATGAAATTTTAAATCGCTGCGGTTATTCCTGGCAGATTCTCCGGCGAGGAGATCCTCGGGAAGAAAAGCGGAGCTTAAAGATCCCCATTTAAGTAGAGAAGTCGAAATAACCCCGAATTGGGGGGGGGGGGAAGGAGAGGAGGCACCAACCGCATAGAAAGTTTTTTGGGCTGGAGGGGCAAACCGGATCGGAGTAGGGAGTCCACCTTCCGAGCCTGCAGGGAGGAGATTGCTGTTTTTAGGCTAGGGCTGCGTGCTTTGTTTGGGTGGGAAGCTAGGTTGGGTGAAGTTGCATGCTGGGTTTAGAAGCAAAGCCTGTGTTTGGAGGCTACAGGCTAGCTCTGGACTGGGAGTGTGGTCAGCAACTAGACGGTCGTAGTCGGAGACAAAACGTAGGGGTAGCATCAAACAGGGTGCAGATTTGGGTGGGGGATGGCGGTGGAGGAGAGAGCGACAAAATTTTGGGAGTGTCCTTTCTGTTACAGTTGCATGCATATTTTAAAATATCAGAGCTGATGCCTGAATAATATTTGATAATCTAGTTTTCCTCTAGGCTGATTTACTTAATTTGCCAACCAAAATATGCCAGGTTTTCTGCACATAGCAGAAGTGGGATTCGGTGCATGTGAACTTGCAGAAAGAAAGGCCTTAGGTGAAGTAGTTTCAAATGACATGGTTTTGCAAGGATGCTGTACATTCGTTGAACCTCACTTTAGAAAGTGGATGTGCGCTAGCGCTATTTCACCATAACTGAAAATAACTGTTCAAGTCTGGTTACAGTAAGTTTGGGGCTGGATGGTATAAAATACTGGTGTTTGTACTGTAGAAACCTAAGGCTTGTGAGATGAATGGAAAGAAAATGTAGTTTGGGGGTCATGCAAATTTCATCTTTGGTCACTTTTTGCTACTGATAATTGATTCAGTGTTTTGCATTCTGTGTATAAAACATTAATGTTCCATATAAAACAGTCAAATCACAGATTACACAAATCTCCAACTCAGTAGCAGGACACTAAAAGTCAGCTCAGTTTTGTGTGCCTTACCTATCCTCATTTGGTGTCCAGGTGTTTTATGGAGAGGCTATAGACTGTATTAAAGGACATTGGATATTGTGGAAGGAGTGGTTGCTCAGCTGTACTGGGATATGGGTTGCTGAGTAACTCACATCGGAACTTTGTACAGCAGAAGCTAGTAGGGAATTGTGTTGCAGTGGACAGTTTTTGATATGGTTAACAAAAGACAGTAACTTCAGTGAGACTACTGTCAGGATGTGTCCTGAGGATAAGCTTTTGTAGGTTGCTCCAGACTTTGCGGAAAGGGTGCAGTACGTTGTATGCTAGTACTAAAAATGGGCTGCTGTATTCTGTACCAAGAAGCTTCTGAATAGACATCATGAAGCATACCACACATATGAATTTTCTGCTTTGAGATTTAAAAAAGGATAAGCTACAGTTGCTATGTCAGCCAATGAATTTGGTGAAAAGTCTTCAGGTTATTCTCGGTTCCTGAAAGTTGCAAAGCTTTGTAATACTATGGCCTTGGCTGGATTTAACGGAAACTATAGGAATAATTTAATACTTTTGCCTGTCTATGCCCAGGGCATCTCATCTGATGGTCAATAGTAGCTAGGGCACCGGGAGATCACAGGTAGAGTATTTAAAAAACAACAACAACCACACAATCCAGTAGCTCTGGTTTTGCTGAGGTTTGCATATTACTGAGAAAGTATTTGTTCTCCTTTGTAAAAAAAATTCTCATTTTTGTATTTGAAAAATGTATATCAGTCTTAACTGTTCTGTGACCAGATTAGTACATTTTTATCTATTAATACATCACGTCCAATTTTCTTTAACTCCAGGGGGAAGTTGAATGATGTGATGCAAACTTGGTACATAACATGACATGATTTGCCACAAATGGCTTAATGTGAGTCAATCAATTTGTTATAAATAATTTATGATTAAGATGTTATGCATGCTTTTGCTATTATTTTGTTTTGTGCATGCATTTCCTTCTTACATGCCAGTATTCATATAGTCAATCTAGCATGACAATGTCATTGTTATTTACTTGCAAAAATCAGAATGGTGTGTTGTTGTTTTTCAGATTTCGGTAACCATGATTTCATTTTAGATCAGTTTTTTTTCCTCCATGGTATAGGTATTCTGTATATAAAAGTATTTTTAATTACTTTTGTAATTACTAAGAGGCAAAACTATTCTGACAGAGAACTATGAATTAAATAATTGACATAGTAACTTAGCATTATGGCAACAACATGTAAATAGATTACAAAATAATGGTTAAATAAGGAAGATTTTCATGGGGCACAATGAGGAATACCAGTATTCTCACAGAATAAAAACTAAGCTAGTTGTTTAAAAAAAGAAATGGATAAGCAGACAGTTCACTTGAGCATCTAATGATGTGTGTTTCCTAGGAAATTGAATGTTAAATATCTTCTCCTTAATAGAAATTCATTGACAATTAATGTTATCTCAGTACAGTAAATATCACAGCTCTGTTCCATGCACCACCTTATCTTTGCATACAGGGGTTTCTTTAGAGCTATATTTTTGCTCAGATGGAATGATGAGCCTTCATTTGCCATCCTAAACATGGAAAGAAATTCCCCTGAAGTTACAGAATATATCTTTGGTTTTTGGACTAGGTTTTCAGTCTGTAAATGGTGAGGAAGGAGAAATAAGTTACAAAGGCTAAAGCTGCAACGAAATCACATCTAAAAACAAGTAAACCCCAACAGATACAATGCGAATTTTCATCTTTGCATTTTCAATTTGCATTCATTTTCATCAGAATGCAAAGAATTGCATTGTGTGGCTATAATCCTATTCCCAGTCATCACCTGAAACTGCTTTTACTTGTTGAAATTACAGCTCCCAGAATTCCACAACCAGCAAGGATCCTTCATCTCTAGTGATATAATATCTACCCAGTGCATGTCTGCCTGATAAGACTGCTTTTGATCTCTTCTTCTGAGTTAATGAATTGTGCGCTATCTAGATGTAAATGCACAGGAATTTCGGGTGCATCATTTAAACTGGGTGCAGTGCATCAAATCAATTGAAAAATGAAAATCTGTACCTAGGTAGATATCCATTTGAAATGGTTAGTTTTGGAAAAGTGGGCAGTGACAGGACCATAGGAAAGCCCTTGGCTGCTGTCCAAACATGCTGTACCACTTTTTTGTAACTTGCCTTCCCAACCCCATGCTGCCAAATGATTCTCCATGTTCCTTGCTTTCTTTTGCTGTTAAGTCAAAGAGACAGATGGGAAAAACGTTGATACTAATAGCTTCAGTCCCTTTAATTTACAGAGGTCATTAGCTTCCTAATTGTTTCTGTGCTCAGCTTGATATGGCCTACATTTATTACCCCATGGAACAGAGGTAGGCAAGTGCCCTTCCAGTGTTTTTGGACTACAGTTTCCAGTATTTTTGACCATTAGCCATGTTGACTAGGACTGTTGTGGGGAAGGGCAATAGCAGTCCTACAGCATCTGGAGGGCTGCACTTTACATTCTTGGCCATGACTAGTTTGTTGACAAGAATAGGGCCTTTAGTATGAGAACTCTTGTCAAGTTATTAGTATCAGCAGTTGCCAGTATCAGCAGTTCTGGCACCTCAGTGTATGTTGTGTTTACACATTTTGCTCAAGTTGTGCATCAATCTTAATTGACAATCTAGGTAAGTAAGTATTCAGTTATTAATAACTGCATGTTGTCATATTAATTCTGAGTTATGGCAACCCTTTTTGGAGTTGTCTAAGTAGGGAGTACTCAGAAATACCTTACGATTCCCTTCTTCTGGGGGCATCCTGAAACCATGCAGCTTGACCAAGGCTACACAGGCTGAATTTTCTAGGATACACATTAAACTACCAGCCTCTGGCTATGCAGCCAGATACCTAACTCCCTGAGCTATTCAGCCAGCTAAATAATCAGTTGCCATAGCTTATTACATATATTGTATGTGGCATGTGATGAGATACAGGTTGAGGAAACTATTTAAACTGGTGATTGAGCCTAAAAACATATTTGAGATCATTAATGATCAGGAAAAATAGATTGTAAAGTGTGTTTCTGTTGTGCTATAAAATGATTATCTTCAAAATGTTTGCATGTCCTTATTATAGTACTCGATCCAAAAATTAAGGTTTTTAACATGTAATGCATGCTCGCCATGCCTGTTTCTTGAATGTGGGTTTCATTCTAGATTATGTGCATGCAATTAAGTCACGTTTAAATGTTCAACATAGCTTTTCCAGAATCTCCATCAAATGTGACCTACAGAGATATATGATTAAATAATAGAATTCAGAGTGATCACTATAAATTTCATACTTATATATGATGATATATGGAGGGTAGAGGGACAACACATTGTTTTTATACAAATTGTTTGATGAGCTTATCACCCACTCAGAATAAATTGTTAGTATTTTAAATTCCATGATTTAAACAAATAGGCTGAAGCTACAGGTTGATGTTACAGAATTGGGCGCACATATACTTACATATATAGTATAGAACAGGATTGTATCTGCTTTTGGATTGGACCCTGTCTTCCCATTGTGGGGCCAGTGACGGAAGTGACAGTTTCTCTCATGTTAAAAATTGTTGGCTGAGACTGTTATCTCATTGCTGTTGTGGTTAACATAAGAAAAAATCAGGAATTTTGCAAGCTATGGCACAGTGCAGTTCAACCAGTCAACTGTCTTGCAAGGGAAAGTGGATGGAATCCTTCAGCTTCAAGGTCCACACAGTGAGTGGCCAAAATTCCATAGAACTCTAGGGCTAAAGGGTGTTTATTCACAGTACTTTGGTTTTTAGCATAGCACGTTCAGAGCCTGCAGTCTCAAGCTAATATTTTGAAAAATGCTATGGGTAAACTGCAGAATTGCCATCTGCAATATCCACCATTGTGGATTATGTAGACTATTATGATCTGCTGCAGTATAAATCAGCATTTATGTCTATAAAATAGTCAGTGTTAGTTCAACCAAAATAACAGTTTAAATTGGTTAGCACAGATATTTAACAGTATGCGTGATCAAAAACTACAGAATTGTATCTAACCTGAAATAATAATTCTGCTTTTTATTTTCCAAGAGCAGTTCAACAGTTGGCTGTGTTTCTTATGTATATCACTGAACAATGATATGGTGCAGTTATTTCTGGAAGCTTTCTATAGGATTTAGGTGCTTGTAATCAATTATCTGCTTTTTGTAAAGGGCCGGGACCATGGCACCATTTACCGAGGATCTTTAATAGATATCTGCTGGTTGGAAAAGGCATGTTCATCTATGGCTGAAATCCTGTGTCTTAGTGTAGTAGGTTGCACCAGAGCAGGCCCACTGAATCAGTGGGATTTGGTGAGTCAATTCCTCTGTAAGCTCCATTGATTCAAATGGGCCTGCTCTACTTGTGACTTACTAGTCAAAACTTCAGTATGTCCATTTGAATCAGTGGAATGTATAGAAGAGGTAACTCACCCTACTGATTTAATGGGTTTACTCTAGTGTGATATACTACGCTAAGCAAAGAAAATTCAGGCACAATATCGAGAACCAGATTAACTCCAAAAATATGGGAAACGTAGGCTGCCATTTTCACTAGAAAAAAATGTAATGGTTTACTCACGATCACTACCTCAGTAAATGTAGTAAAGTTAACTATATAACTAAAAGAAGCTTGGAGCATGCAAATGGTGGATGAAATGTATTTTCAGATGGTCCTTTTATGTACAGTCAATTGCAGAGCAAATTAAACAGCTTTACCAAGTTGTCTCAATTATTATTTTTGGGTTTGAAAGGGAAAATACATTTTCCAAGGGCAGTCAAGGAATAAAACACAATAGTCAGTGTACTATTTTGAAAAGTTAGATAGGTTTCACTGCTTCCATGGGATTTCATCTGAGTTGAGTGTGGCTGTAGTTTTTTGATACATGCCAGTCTTGCTATATGCTTAAATGCTTACATTTTAATTTAATGTTTCCTTTTATTAGTTATGGAGACCAAAGGCTATCGGAGTTATCCAGAAAGCTTAGAAATGGAGAGGCACTGGAGTCAAGGTTCTCAGTCTACGGAATATATGTCTGCAGGAGAAGAGCGGGCTGAAGAGAGTAATAACTATATGGAGATTGTGAATGTGGGTTGTACCACTGGTGCTTTTCCAAATAACAGCTCTCAAGGAAGCAACAAAGAAAAACATGAACTACTTTCTTGCCTTCAGCAAGACCATAATCAGCCTGGTATTTTAGCTTCTGATGTGAAAACTGAGTCAGACTCAAAGGAACTTTCTGCAACTGTAGCTGAATCAATGGGTTTATATATGGATTCTGTAAGAGATGCTGATTTTACCTATGATCAGCAAAGTCAACAAGGAAATATAAATCCTGGAAAGATGTACCAAAATGTGGAGCAGCTAGTAAAGCTATACAAGGAGAATGGCCACCGCACGTCTCCTTTGAACACCCCGAGCAGGCCTCTGAGACCTCTAATATCAGAATGTGCAAGTTCGGTGAATGGTGGGATCCTGCCTCCAATTGTCAAAAGTCCTAGAGTTGGTCAAGAGAAGAGTCCTCCTGACTGCAGTCCTCAAAGTATGACTTCTTCAGTATGCAGCCCACCTGGAATTAATTCTGTATCATCAACCACACCTACAAACTTTGGAAATTTCACAGTAAACAGTCCAGTCAACCAGGGAACGCCTTTGTCGTGCTCGCCCATCATTGAAAACCGAGGCTCAATGTTGCACAGTCCTCCACATGCTAGTAATGTGGGGTCTCCTCTTTCTAGCCCTATAAGTAGCATGAAATCACCAATTTCAAGCCCACCTAGCCACTGTAGTGTGAAATCTCCAGTTTCAAGTCCTAATAATATTACCATGAGATCTGCAGTATCCAGTCCTGCGAACATGAACTCAAGGTGCTCTATTGCCAGCCCTTCCAATGCCAATAACAGGTCTACTCTTTCTAGTCCAGCTGTTAGTACTGTAGGGTCCTCTATGTGTAGTCCAGTAAATGGTGCACTAGCCTTTCCTGCATCTAGCACACCTACTGGACCTGGCACAGGCCAAGACATTGTTCCAAGTCCAGATATAAAGGACAATAAAGGTGCTCCAGAAATCTTATTTCCTAAAATAGAGGAAATGGATAATGCCATCCCTAACAGTGAAGTAGCTAATCAAATGAATCTTGTTCAGTTTATAAAACCTGAGCCAGATGGGGTATTCAGTAGCTCATGCCTTGCAGCAAACAACAGAATCAGTTCTGATTCCCCATTTTCAGTATCAATAAAGCAAGAATCAGCTAAACATTCTTGTTCTGGTGCTTCTTTTAAAGGGAATCAAAGTGCAAATCCATTTCCATTTATGGATGGGTCATATTTTTCTTTCATGGATGATAAAGACTACTATTCACTTTCTGGGATTTTAGGACCGCCTATTGCGTCATTTGACGGCTCATGTGAAAACAGTGGGTTTCAGAATCAAAGCCTCTCCGTAGGAATTAAACAGGAACCTGAGGAGAGCAGCTATTATCAAGAGAACACTTTGCCATCCTCTGCCATTGTTGGTGTGAATTCGGGTGGACAGTCATTTCACTATAGGATTGGAGCTCAAGGAAGAATATCTTTATCGCGACCTGTTGGTAGAGAGCAGTGTTTTCAGCACATGAGCTCATTTCCTCCAGTCAGTAGCCTGGTGGAGTCATGGAAATCACATTCTGAATTGTCTGCCAGAAGAAATGATGGGTATCCTGTTCTAGAATACATTCCAGAAAATGTGTCAAGGTAGGCGTGCTTTGCTTATTCTGGTGCCACCTAAAGAAAAAAAAATCTGTTAAAATTATATAGGCCAATATACAGTATCTATTTCTATATATTGGTCTATATGTATTTTTAGTATTGGCCTATATATGCAATCAGAAAATTAATCATTTTAATTTGCTGAAAATACTTTTTATTGTTTATTGTTTTATTGCTTCTGGAGATTGCTTTGTTTCAGCATCAGATATCATGATACAGAAGTAATTGGTGCAAAGATTTGCTTGGCAAACATTTGGGTTCACTGCTTTGTAACTGCTGACTAATATATGAATGTAATGAGAAGAAAAAAAGTCTCTGTCAAGAGTTATTTTTATGACCTTTCTGTGATTGTGAGTATGCATAAGTTTCCAGTGGGCTGAAATCAGGAATTAAGAATGAAGCTTTTAGTAATGTTATTTCTTTGTTTATATTGATTTACAGTGACTTTATGTAAATACATGTACACTAAAATGCCTACTGAAAGTATATGCTGAAACAATTACTGGGCTGTGGAACAGAGAAACTCTGCTCATTCAAAATAGCATATAATCATTCTCTGTAATGGGGGGGGGGGCTACTGTGTATGCCAACCTTGGTTACTCATAGCTAGATCTAGTAAATGCTCCACATTTGTTGTTGTGCACAAGCCTTCAGCTCCAGGAATGAGTGTTGAGATTGATGTGACTTGTGTTTCCAATGATGGCATAGCAAGTTCTAAAGGCCTTTTTAATACCACCACATCCTGATATTTGTTTAGCTCTGCTGTCCATTTCATTTTGGTTGTTCTATGATGGTAGCAGTAATAGTTTCCTTACCAGTCTTTTACTACTGTACTTCTTTGATTCCGCCACCAGTTTTTTTAGACACAAACACATCTGAGCATTTTACAAGGAGGTGGCTGCATTGGCCTGTCTCACTATGTTGACAAAATGAAAAGGGTATCCCATGTCCCCCAACCCCATTTTTTCTTTTAATTTTGTAAACACATATAAGTGAGTTCTGAACTGTATTTTAAAATGAAAGGTTAATGTATTGGGTGTGGGGGTGGGAGTGGGATGCAGATCCCAGCTGGAGCACTGTTGTGGATATTTCAAAGGAAGTTCCCAAACACTGTTGGAATTCCACTGCAGGAGAGAGTGACCATGATTAGAATCTCCCTTACTCTTTCTCAATTAAACTCTTCATTTTTTATGACATTGAATTGAGTTACATAGATCTGACTGTCATGTGAATTTATCCCATTTCTTGTTGCCTTCTAGATGTTATGCGCTTCAGCTTCTATGGCCATGTTAGCCAGGGCTGATGGGAATTGTAGTCTGAAACATCTGTAGGATGTTAGCTCTTTAGAAATACTGTACTGGGTTACCCTCTCTGTACCTTGTTCAATTTTTCTTGCATTGCCATATTCATTCGTTATTTAGTACAATTCTATGCACATAGTTTTGTATAGCTGATATTTTCAACTTCCTGTCTTGGACTAGTTTTGACTTCATTCTTGGCTGTCTCCCAATGGAATAATGCCAGTTCTTCAGACCTAATTATGTAAAAACAAAGTTTTAACTTTTCTTTTTTCTTTACATACTTTTCAGTGTGTTTTTCTTCTTTTTGATAATCTTGGTAATCTAGGTGCTTTGGATTGCAGTCCGTCCCTTCAAGCTCAGAACCTCAGAATATTATTTAATTCGTCTTTTTCCCTTCTCCACATGTTCAAGTTTTGTAATGTTCCACTTATTTCCAGAAATGTATCATTTTTTTTCTGTGACACAATTTACATTCTAACAGCCTTCATTTTTTAAAAAGGCTGAAAGAGTTTTATTTCAAAACTATTGGGAAAGGACTTTAGAGTAAGAGAACTGAGTATTGTCTGGATAGACTGAAGTTGTCAGGGAATTTATCATGTGAGAGTTCTCATGATACAATTCTAGTATAGCTGAATAACTTTTGAAACAATTCTGTAATATGTTGGTAGAAAAGTTCTCTAATCTAAACACTACCGATTATCAGAGAATGTGAAATTTATGTGGTTAGTTTGATCGACAAGCTAACCTCTTGTGGGCTGTTATTTCTTCTTGTTTGAGGATGTATTCTACCAAATAATAATATTAATAAAACCACCTAATTCCTATGGCTCACTTTTAAAAAGAAAACTACGGATTCCTAAATGTTCTACAATATTTTGCTTTAATTTCTTCCTGTAGGTTTTCCAATATAGTGTTGGCTAATTATTGGCCCTTCATATGTTGGGTGACGGTTTCCTTCACCGCCATGCTAAGTGTTGGTGAATGCTGATGGGGTTGCTGTCCAGCAGCAAACTGATCACCCTGATTTTAATGGAAATATAGTTGGAATGTCTACGTATGGGACTATAAATATGCTGGATTAAAGCATACATTTTCTGTTGTCTGTTTTAAGTTGTATATTCAGAGAGATGATTTGGAGCATACAAAACATACAAAACATACTTAATTACTTTTAATTATTGTGGCTGCTTGTGATTTGGCTGCCTGACACTCTGTTAAATACTAGCTTTCCATTGTCAGAAAAGGATTATGTGGGATTTATTGTCAATGTATTAAAATAAATTTCTGATGTTACTCTTTCAGTTTAACTTACTTGCCTGATTATATTTTAGCATTTAGGTATCATCCAGTACAGTTGCCCAGATTATGCATCATTATGTTGGTTAAACTGCTGGGGGACAGAACAATTGTGTTATAGCTCATAGATTGTAGGATCAGTGAAACATAAGATTATGGTGTCTCAATGACTGCACTACAATTCTAAGTATTTCCTGATGAGCTACAGCCCTGACATTTATTAAGGTTGCAACCAAATGCAGGCTGTTTAGAAAAACCATTGAGATATATCTACATCCCTTTTAAAATGGAGAAAACAAGTTATGTTCCAAAATACTATCCTCACCAGGGTGGATTAAAAGTGACAATTTAACCAAAATAAAAAATAAAAATACAAATTTAAACATTTAAATTATATTTTTAAAAATTTAAATCAAATTTAGTTTAATGAAATGCTTTTGGATAAAAAATATCTAAAGATAGTTTTCTGTTATGAAGCACATTATAGTTCAAAGGTTATTGGGCATGAAATAGAGTTTAGTTATGTAGCATGAAGTTGTATATTCATACAATATAAAAATTCATTTAACCCAAGTTACACAAGTTGAGACAACATGCACTTTTTCACAGTAAAATGGTATAAAATAAACAAAGTTCAGGAAAAGACGTTTATCCCATTGTTGTTCTGCAAATCTATGTACAAACAATGAATACATTGATGATTAAGCAAATACAAGAATATATATGCTATATAATGTTATTGTTTTAGTTAAATGAAACATTTTAAGTAGATCTCCAAATATGAGTGATAAACCTATGAAATTAAAGTCTGATTTGATATAGCTGTTTTACTAAAACATGAAATCTTCATCTGGTTGCAAATATTTAAGATTCTAACTACCAGCAAGAACGAATATTTACATTTAAAAATCATGATTTGAATTGTGTCTTACCAACTAATGATTTAAATCATGATTTAAATCAACTTGATTTATATCAAATCCACCCTGATCCTCACATTTATTGGAAAGGTGAAGTTGAATATGCACATAGTTAAAGACAGTTTGACTACATACATATTAAAACAACAAATGCCTGGGAACATACTTCCTGTGCCTACCAATAGTTGAGATGCTTTCTGGTATTTTCTGAGTTTAGCCTCCTAACAGGTGCGGCATCGTCACTTCCATGAACCTAGTAGTGTAGGTTTCTTGAATATTTTGAATGAGAAAGATTTCTCAAGTTACTTTTTAAAATTTCTATTTAGCGAGTATAACTATTTTTTCAGAGTATTCATTCAATGCTTTTCTGTCCACCAACATACCCAAAAGACTAAAATATTTTAAAACAGACTAAAAGCATTCAAAACAAATAAAAAACATTTTAAAATAGATTTAAAACATCTTAAAAGAAATGACGACATATAACAGCAGATACAAAACACCTTCAAAAGTCCTAGAGACCAGAAGCCCTTACTAATAGTATTTATCCTGTTTATAGCTTGGCAGAGATGGAGTTGGTCTAACTTCTTGAAACTAAACTCAGTAATTCTGAGTGCTGCTACTGAGAAAAGCCCTGTCTCACATACCCAGCAACCAAGACTCTTTGGCAGTGGGACATGTAACAGGGCCTTTGTTGAAGTTTGCAAACTCTAGGCAGGTATGGATGGTAGATAGATAGAGGTAGGTAGATAGATAGATAGAGGTAGGTAGATAGAGCTGAGGATCATATTGGAACCTAGTACCGTTGGTTGAAGACAAAGGTTATGGTCTGTAAAATGTATGGAAAACAATATAGCTGCTGCAATTTGTACTAGGTATATCCTTGGAACACACTTCAGGGGCAGCCACATACAGAGTACTGTATGTTATAGTAATCTATTGGACTATTGGACTAACCCATGTTTTATCTGCCTTACAGAGTTTACTTCTCTTTTTATACCTTAAAAGTAGTCAAAAGTACTTGACGTTTTTGATTAGGAAAAAGAAATCTAATATTTCATATTGTCTAATGTGGCTGAAGAAGTGAATTATAATCCACAATTTGGCTTGTATTATAGACGTTTATTGTGCTGCTAATTAAATTGTTGAAAAATGCTTTTTTAGAGATGGGGATTCTTCTGTGGAAAAATGCAGCTGTGGAAAAATTTCTATCTGACATTGTCAATTCCCTTTCTCAAACACAGTTCACCTTGTATAGGGGGAGGGATTAGCATTGGGGAGGGTTTCATTTCATTTTGAACTCTTGGAGTGTCATGTGGTGGGGGGGTGCATGGAATTTCCTCTGCCTTCCATTGCAGTTCATTGATAGTTGTGACACAGAAAACTACAACTGTCAAGAGCACCAGCTGCACTTCAATGAACTCTCCCCATTCAGAAAGGTTGGTTTCCTTGGGAAGATGTAGACTGT